GCAGATTGTTCCCGATTGGTGTGCTATTACTTTGGGGAACTTTTCGCTGAATGGTTCATGAAATATCAGCGTTTTTTTTTTTTTTTTGGTGAAATTCGTCTCATAGGAATGAATGGCGGAGTGTTCAAAACTAGAGTGTGGATCTGACAAAAGCTAGAGTGTGAGCTGAAAAATCAGGACATGATTTCTAAACTGCCATCACTCCCTCATTTTCAAGCCCACCTACACAAATCTTATATCAAGACGTTCAGCTATCCCTGCTGCCACTAAAAATGTCCACGGCTAAACCATAGTCCTGATAGTTTTCACAATATGACCATTTGTTTGCAACTCATGCCACCCATTGACATTCATTAAAAACTCCACTCTAGCCACCTCAAATTTGAAGGGCAATTTCTAAACTGCGACTGTGCCTTCATTTTTAATATTTCAGAGACATACTATGCATCAAAATGTAGGTCTGGGTCTTGTAATTCTCACAATATAAAGCTCTTCAGTGTAGGATTTATAATTTTTAAACTACAACCGTTTGAAGATGGCAACCGCCCATGAAGTGAGCAAGTTGGAGTAGTTTGTTTTTAACCGCTCTTCTCTGCCCTTGCTGTAGAGTAAATTGTCATAGGAACCCAGGTGTGTGAGCAGGCAGCAGAGTGACAAAAGCTAGAGTGTGAGCTGAAAAATTAAAGTTGAAATGCATTTCTCACTCTATCAAGCTTGCCATGTGCATTTTTTAAATTTGATCAATCAATTGGTTAGTGTAATGTTTACTATCTTTACTCACTCCAAACACTCAAAACAGTTACTCTGCCCACTCCATAAAGTTACTCTGCCCAGTCCAACCTTTTCACAGTTACTCCAGCCACTCCAACCACACAATAGTTACTCCAGCCACTCCAACCACACAATAGTTACTCAAGCCACTCCACCCAGTTACTCCGCCCACTCCATTTGTAGACTACTGGTGGAGGCAAGAACACTTCACACAATTTCCCCAGAAATTGTAGCTTTTCTAGTTACAATGTGCCTTTGCAATTTAATCTGTAGCCTGTTATTTCCTTTGAACCATGTTGACAATATTGTGCACAGAACTTCCCCTTCTGCTAATGTGGCTGGCTCTCTATTTTACACAAAATGGGCACAGGGCTTGAAGGTGAATTTCAAGCATCCCCTGCAACAGAAGGGTGTTGTGTGTGTGTGTGCGTGTATTGGTGTGTGAGTGATACTTTCTCTTGATAAGCATTAACAATAAGGCTGTAAATTGGTGGCCATAAACCAGCAACCATAGGAGCTAGTGGTTTTTTTTATTGGCTTCTGGGCAGTAGTGTATTTAGGTTTTGTGCTGCCCCTAGACAACACAAAAATCGGCGCCCCCCCCCCCCTCTTGCAGAAAGAGCCTGACATTGACCAAGAGCACCCCTGTCCTCCACTTGAGCCTTCCACTACCACTGCCCCCCATACACCAGCCACCATCCCCCATGGCAAGAAAGAGAAAGACACCTCACCTTCACAGCTCCAGACAATCCCAGGAAAGAAAGTCGGGCTGTGCATACACCATCATGAAACCCACAACATTTCTCGGAACCCACCTGGTCCCCATGCCATGTGTGTCCCTTCTTCTGTCCCTTCTTCCAAGGGGCAGTGCTGCCCCCCTGAAAAATGATGCCCTAGGCAAATGCCTTGTTTGCCTTGTGGTAAATACACCCCTGCTTCTGGGTCTAGAACATGAAAAGTGATGTCCAGGCAGCTGTACCTAGCTATTATGTACCAATTTCCTACTATAGCTGTTTTTTTTTTAAAGATGAGTTCCAGGTATGTCAATTTTTGCTTAATTACCTTGGTCTGCCTTGGACTAATGTAAGCATGTATTTGCCACACCTGTGATATGCTCGTGGAAGCTGAAAATCACTGTAGTAGGCACCACTACTACAGTGATCTCCACTTGCTATATATATATATATATATATATATATATATATATATATATATATGTATAAATCTTGGCATTCCTTAGAAGAATGAAAAGTGATCTTGAAATTCCAGGTCTCTCAACACCCCGCTGGGATGACAGATGGAAGATATAGTAGAGCAGTGAGTGCCCGGGCTGTGTTAGGATAGATTGTAGATACACACAACTGTGCCATTAGGGAGCACATATGTTAAGACATCTTCTATATATTAATTATCATGACTAATGCCCTGGATATAGAAATGATAAAGATTAATGGGAGGAATGTATGGCCTGGTTACCAGCTGGGAGCTCTGTTAAATCTGTTATGTGGCATGGTAAATTATAAGTGTAATTAAGAAACATTCCTTTATATAATTAGAACTAGCCATAGGATTGCAACCCAGATATTATATTGCATGTCAGAATATTGTAGTATATTTAGTTACATTCACATATTTGTGTTTTAGTGCATTGCATTAATAACAAATCTGATCCCTGTATCTTTGGTACAGTTTCCAACAAAAAGCATGGGGAATGTATGAAAATGCATCTAAAATATACCGTACTGTGACTTCCCACAGGAAAACGCAAATGTATGAATGTTGCCTGGTTGCAGATAGATATTCCATTTAATGGGTATTTCTATGCTGCTTAGCTTTAAATAAAAAAAATTGAGAAAGAAAGCAAAGAAAGAAAGAAAGAAAGAAAAAGAAAGAAAAAAAAAGAAAGAAAAAAAAAAGAAAGAAAGAAAGAACCAGGTCAGGTGTTCTGCTGTGCAGGTAGAAAACATATAGAGATCAGAGGTTTGAGCTCAACAGTACGTGTCTTATTTGTCCCTTTGAGAATGGGGTCCAGCAAGACCTTGAAACATGCATTTCACCTTGCCCACTGTGACTTGGTCACAGAGGTCATAGCTATCTGATAAGTTTTCCAGCATGGTGGTGGTGCACAGTGGTGGAGTGAAGCACTGAAGGAAGTATTGACATAAAGAACTGTTTTGTTGTTATCCACAAGTATACTTTGCACTATTTTGCTTGGAGCACTTTATATACAGTATTACATGAAAGAAGAGAAGTTATATTTTTATGGACTTTTGAACTAAGCAGCCTCATTTTATATAATTTGATTTATTTGTATGTGATTTGTTATAGGAGCTCTGTATATTGTGAGGAATAATGATCCATCTGCTCCCCCCACTATCATGTCACTCTTTGCTTAAAGTAGCTGTAAACCTCAGGTATGAAATATGAACAAAGCACATCTCCCTATGGTGTGTACTTCGTGTAATTTCTGTCTGCTGTCTCATTCCTCTGTTATCAGCATGAATCACTTCTGACATGTTTTCCTGACACCAAGAGATAAATGGTGACAGGGGAGGGGCATCCAGCAGATTGACAGCCTCAGTTCTGTTCTTGTGAGCTGTGTGGAAGAGAGGGGGTCCCTTCTCTCCAATCAGCTCAAATAACTCTCCTCACTGAGCTCTGTATAGTGTAACTTCAGCTCTCCACCCCCTTGTTCTGAACTCTCAGACAAGCTTTATAAATCCAGCACTTTTAATGGATGTACAGATGAGAAGTCTACAGATAAACAGGTACAGATTATGTAGGAGGATCTGTTTCATCTCTGTGTATCACCTGAGGCCAGTCACTTCACTGGGTATTTTTTAGGTTTTACAACCACTTTAACTGCTTCCCGTCTGGCCCATGTATATAAATGGCCGGACGGGAACAGTACAGGGGCGGGTTGCCGTTCATAAACAGTGCCCGATATTTCAGCCTGTGCGCACTCCCTAGGAATGCGTGGCACCGCGATCCGGTGCCCGCTGTGTCCTCCAGAACACAGATCACTGTACGGGACCTCTGTGTGAGGTCCCGATCATGTGATCACTGTTTGGCCAATCAGTGATCACATGAATAGTAGTAAGCAAGATGTCATTTCTGACATGTGAATAATCAAAGAGGTCACATGGTACAAGGCTATTCACAACAGCCTTGTAACATGTGACAAGCTGTGACCAATCACAGCTCTCACAGTATTTCTCAATGGCTGCAAGAATGCAGCCAGAGAGAAAGATAAATGGTTGCTTTTCAAGCCTTTATGGGTGTAAAAGCAATCAGTGTAAAAAAAAGTGAATACATTTTGGCCAAGATTTATGAATAAAGATTATTTATTTGCAAAATTTTAGAAGAAAAACACTTTTTTTCAAACTTTTTGGACCTTTTCATTTATATAGCAAAAAAATGCCAGTGCTGAATAAATACCACCAAAATAAAGTTTTATCTGTCTCCAAAAATGCTAAAAAATTCATATGGGTATAGTGTTGCATGCTCGCACAATTGTCATTCAAAGTGTGACAGCGCTGAAAGCTGAAAATTGGCCTGGGCAGGAAGGGAGTAAAAGTGTCCGGACTTGAAGTGGTTAAAGGCACAGCGTGATCCTGGCAGTGTGTCACTAGCCAAATCACCAGATTAAAACAGAGGGACAAAAGCCTCAAAAAAGAAAACTAATGCAGCCATCACATCTAATGATTGGTAAAGTGCAATATATTACATTTTTGGTTTTGGGTTTAATACCACTTTAAGGATTAACTGATAGCAAGGACACAGGAAGCAATGAAAGTATTGTTCCTATTCTCACTAGATAATACACTGATATTTGTCTCCACTTTGCCCGTTGCAATGCTTTTATCAGCCTTGGGATATCTCTCAATAAATATAATCCTTTTTCTTCACCTAGAACAGAGATGAATATGAGGACCCGCCATATAATTTTACTGAAGAGGAACATCTCCTGCCTCTTTTACACAAAGAGAAGAGATTGAATGAGACCGCCAGAACCAGCGCACAGATTACCAGGGGTGTTACATCCACCAGACCCTCGCTATTTTCTAAAACACAGGAAGATGAAAAAATTCCACAAATCTTTATCCATATTCAAACTCTCAGGGCTGGGGATGTATTTGTGAGTATAAATATTTTTTCCTTATGGGTAGATTGGAGTTGAGGGCAAATAAAGCTGAACTCTGGAACATATTGTCAAAATACATTCATCTTGTGTATTCTTCCTTGATCTCGGTGTGCTTTATGTAATTCTTCCAATCTGTGCAGTAATCCAGTGTGACATTGTACCTCTGTGCAAAAGCTTCCTGTAATAAAGACCGCTCACTGCTGCTCTCTCTCCTTGTGCAGGGTGTCTGGTCTTGTATCCACTCCCTCCTGTAGTTTCTGCAGGCAGCCTGTAGTGGGTGGAGCCTGCTGGATCCCTCCCACAGCTCTGGTCTCTGTACAGGCTATGTACTGCACAGTGATGATGTCAGTGCTACTTATACAAGGTAATATCTGGGTTTGTAAAGGATTTTGTTGCATACAACATAAGATTAAGGCTCCGGTCACACCAATGCATTTCTTAGTGCTTTTTGCAGAAATGCACTACAGTCCACTTAACCAGTTGCCGACCGCAGATAGCTGAATGACGGCTACATTGCGGCCGGCCAGTTCTGGGAGGGCGTCATATGACATCCTCCCAGAACGCACTCTTCTGCGCGCCCCCCCGGGGTGCGCACCTGGCGATCTCCGTGATCGCTGTGTCCGTAGGACACGTGATGTGGTAAAAGGCCAATCACAGCGGCTTTTTACCACGTGATCAGCTGTGTCCAATGACACGCTGATCACAGGGAAATGCAATTGCCGGTTCTCAGCTGCACTTTCCTCACGCTGTCAGACTGTGGGGAAAGTACTGCCGAGAACCGGCAGTTGTCAGAGCAGGGATCGGCACCCGATCATCAGGGCACCGATGATCAGTGCCCTGATGATCGGTGCCCAACAGTGCCACCCACCAGTTCCACCCACCTGTGCCGCCCACCTGTGCCCAGCAGTGCCCCCCCAGCAGTGCCCAGCAGTGCCACCCACCAGTGTCCAGCAGTGCCACCCATCTGTGCCCAGCAGTGCCCAGCGGTGCCACCCACCAGTGCCCAGCGGTGCCACCCACATGTGCCCATCAGTGCCACCCACCTGTGTCACTCACCTGTGCCCATCAGTGCCACCCACCTGTGTCACCCAACTCTGCTCATCAGTGCCACCCACCTCTGCCCATCAGTGCCACCCACCTGTGCCCATCAGTGCCACCCACCAGTGCCCATCAGTGCAGCCCAGCAGTTCTGCCAGTAAGTGCCCAGCAGTTGTGCCAGTCAGTGACCAGCAGTGCCGCCAGTCAGTGCCGCCTATCAGTGCTGACTATCAGTACCCATCATCAGTGCCGCCTATCAGTTCCACCTATCAGTGCCGCCTATCCATGCCACCTCATTAGTGCTGCCTATCAGTGCCCTTCAGTGCTGCCTATCAGTGCTGCCTATCAGTGCCCATCAGTGCTGCCTATCAGTGCCCATCAGTGCTGCCTCATCAACGCACATAAGTAAAGGAGAAAAATTACCTGTTCGCAAAATTTTATAATAGAAACAAAGAAACCTTTTTTTTTCAAATTTTTTGCCCTATTTTGTTTATAGCGCAAAAAATAAAAAACACCCAGTAACAAGTAAATACTACCAAAAGAAAGCTCTATTTGTGAGAAAAAAAATTATAAAAATTTCATATGGGTACAATGTTGCATGACCACGCAATTGTCATTCAAAATGCGACAGCGCTGAAAGCTGAAAATTGTCCTGGACAGGAAGGGGGTGTAAGTGCCCAGTAGGCAAGTGGTTAACATGGTTTCCTATGGAACATGTCCACATCTATGCTTTTTTGAGCTACTTTGTTTTTGGAAAGGGTCACAGATTTTTGCTACAATAGAGTTCAATGGAGAAGCTGCTGAAATGCATGGTAGTGTATCTTTGCCGTGTTTTGCATTTTTATTCTGCCCAGCAACAAAAAAAATTCCACTTTAACAAAAAAAGAGCTGAACAAAACGCAAAACGCCACAAAAATGCATCAAAAACACATGTAGAAAAATACAAAACGAACTGTGAAAAGCACTACAAGACGGTAAAAATGCAAACTGCATAGGTGTGAACGGAGCCTCTTATCCTCTGTGGCTATTAAAGTAGTAGTTAAGTTTTTTTTTTATGTGTACCTACAGGTAGGTCTATAATAATGGTTATCTGTAGGTACCGTGAATGTCTCCTAAACTTGCACTGACATTCACACTGCATGCATCTGGTGACCTCACCGGCTCATGCGCACTGAAGGGACAGCGTACCTGTGCCATTCCTTCAGAGCTCTGTGCTGCGGCCTAATCGTGATGTCATTGCGGCTTGGCCAGCCAGAAGGCCGGAGCATGTGAACCCAGAAGGAAGACCGCTGGAGGGCTTTGTTCTAAGGCAAGTACTTCATAATGTGCCATTGTCTTGCAGGTTTAAAAAAAGAAAAAGGCTGTGGTTTACTACCACTTGAAAGTATTTATTAACCTCCCTGGCGGTATTCCCGAGTGTAGCTCGGGGTAAAATGTCAGTACCAAAAGCGGTAACCCCGAGCTACACTCGGGCTTACCATGCGGTGCTGCATAGGGAGTCCCTGCACAGCTTACCTTGTCCTTCGCTCCCGCGATGTGTCCCCTGCAGCTTCCCCGGCCATCTCCTCTAGCCGATGCTGGCATCCGGCTTCTGTGTTCCGGTCCCTGTGACGTCGGGACGTACGGGTGCCGCCGCCGGCGGGAAATTTGAAAATTTAAAAAAAATTTCATTTTTTTCCAAACAAATTTTACATAGCAAAACATTGCTGTTTCAACCCATTTCACATACATTTTGTCCCGAGTGCTTTGTCCTGTGCCCTGCCTGCATTTTGTCTGTTCTTTCTGCCTGGAAACTGAGAAAAGTCCATGGCGTCCAAAAAGTGTCCCTTTAGGTCAAAAGCGGGTTTAGATCAGCTAGAGGTCAGTGATAGTAAATCAGAACCACTTGCAGAATTGAGTGACAATGATTTGTGGGGAAATTTGTCATCAGACACTGAAAACGATTTTGCGACTTTGCTCAGCGATGTGCGAACTTGGTGCTCTATTTAAAATTTCAGTGTTTTTGGCTTGATTATTTTATTGAATTAAATGTATTATTATTATATTATTATTTTTTATGATTATTTATTAAATTATAATTTATGATTTCGTGTTTCAAAATTTATCATACCCGGGATGTTTACTAGACTCTTGTTCGGACAGATTTCAGTGAGTTATTCCTAAAAATTATAGGCCTACAATAAAAAACTACATATTTCCATGCAAAATAATGGTACCTTTTTCAGCACCAAAAATCTGAAATAATCAGACCGCTAGGGAGGTTAAAAGCAGAACTCCAGGCAAAATTTTAATTTCATGTAATTGTTGCTGCCTTTCTACCTTAACCCAATATGTTCTTCTTTCTATTCACCAGTCTGTTGTCACTGGCAAATCCATTAAGCATTGACTGGCAAACCCCAGTTTCCTTAACATCCGTGTTGCAAGACCAATGGCCACTATTCCTACTCTTCCCACCGGTCTTGTCACTTCCCCTCCATAGTCCTTTGTAGTGAGCAGTGACGTAACTATCTCTCTTCTCTCTATAGTGGGCAGATCCGGGCTCCCGGTCTGAACCGTCCACTGTTGCATCATTATTTGATTGACAGGCTAGGAGTCTCCCAGTCTGTCAAAGCTCTCAATCCCTCTGAATGGTAGGCTGTGCAAAGATGGTAGGCTCTCCTAACACTCAAATACAATATTGGACTGCGAGGAGCAACTGGGAAAAGCAAAGAAAATAAAAATGTATTTATTGCTAGTCCAGCTGTAGATGGCAGAGCAGTGGGTGAGGACAAATGTGGGTGTATAGTCTCAAAATGTGTCCTGAAGACGATTACACAAGTCCACAATCCTGCCCTTTCACTACAATTTCCATAGGATTATGGGAACTGTAGTTTCCCATAACTGTGCGGTGAGAATGCAGGATGTGACATTATTATTATAATACAAGATTTAGATAGCGCCAATAGTTTGCTCAGCGCTTTACAATATAACGGGAGACGATACAGCAACAATACAGTTCAATGCAAGAGGGTTAGGAGGGCCTGATCCTCGGAGCTTACAATCTAAGACATCTATATCTACTTTACTCCTCCTCCCGGGACCGGCAGAATCTGCTGATTTTTAATTGGAGATGTGATGTAACAGAGATTTCTTTCAATTCATTGTCTAAATGGTGAGGTTTATATCTAACTTGATCAAAGTTGATAGGTTTACATAGACACAGGGGCAGACTGACAACTCATGGGGCCCCCGGGCAATAGGGGATCATGGGGCCCCTGTGTCCTTGCCCACACTCAAAAAAAGCCTATAAAAGGTACCAGGGGCATTTCATGGGTCCCCCTACTGACCCCGGGCCCTCGGGCAGTGCCCGAGAGCTTGAATGGTCAGTCCGCCCCTGCATAGGCAATACTACTGATTGCTAGTTTCAATATGTATTCCAGAGCTGAATGTTTTTGTGCCTGGACCAAGGGCGGACTGACCATTTGGAAACTCAGGCACTGCCTGAGGGCCCGGGGTCAGTATGGGGCCCCATGAGATGCCCCTGGTACCTTTTTAATAGGCTTTTTTGAGTTTAGGCAAGGACACAGGGGCCCCATGATCCCCTATAGCCCGGGGGCCCCATGAGTTGTCAGTCCGCCCCTGGCCTGGACTTCAACTTTAGTGCACCATTTTTTTTATGCACTGAGGCTTTGTTAGGCAACCTATTCATCTTGAATTGGCTGGCAGTGCACCGCAGCACATGAAAAAATAGGTTCTGCTCTATTTTTCAAAACGCAGCACATCACAACCTACAGAGCATTTACATCTGTACATTGCGGTGTGCTAGAGTGCACTATATGTGTGCATTGGGGTACACATAACAATTAATGGCAGTGGATCGCACAACACATAGACAGTGCATCACTGTGCATTTCCATGTGCCTAGTGTGAATAGGATCTTACTGTACTCCACAATTCTTCACATTCTGACATTGTAAAGCAGGAATCAAATGTAACTGATATTCACTTGTTTGTACAGCAAAGTTCATTAGCAAAATCTTTACAATGGCAATGCATATACTGTACATCGGCAATAGACATGCTGATCCATAGTCATGACTGCAGGATTCAGCTATTACTGGGCCCATGCAGGGGCGGACTGACAACTCATGGGGCCCCCGGGCAATAGGGGATCATGGGGCCATTGTGTCCTTGCCCAAACTCAAAAAAACCTGTGAAAAAGGTACCAGGGGCATCTCATGGGGCCCCCTACTGACCCCCGGGCCCTCGGGCAGTGCCCGAGTTTCCAAATGGTCAGTCCGCCCCTGGGCCCATGTTTCTTTATCCTGAACAGACACAGACTGTGTGTCATGGGTTTAAGACCTGGTTCACACCTATGCATTTTTCCGTGCTTTTTGCGTTT